AGTACATCCATACATTTTGTGTTAACATGTTTCGTTACTGTAAAATAATAGAAATTAATAAATAAATAAAATTTTCAAAATTTTAATAAATTTACCGAACAAACTAAATTTATTTGACTCCGCTTTAAACTACTTAATTTTTTGACTTTATTATTTTCGCTGTTGTATTGCTTCCTACAATACGTCTAACGTCTTGGAAAGCAAACTCATTATAAAGCAAAAATTTATAAAAAATATTAATTTTTGCACCACTATAAACAAAAAAAATCAACTTAAGTGCAACAGAGAAAATAATTTACGCAGTGATACACTAAAGGAAAACTGATGCTCGTAATCTCGTTTTGTTCTGGGTAATTTTCACTTTGTCTTTTAAATATTCGGACACACTGTTTGGATAAAACATCTAAAATTTACTGTTGGAATTAATTTTAACAATAGTCGGTGATGCTTTATTATGCGGGAAGCTTTAAAAAAGACCATTTTCACAGAGTTTGACGTTTATTAGCACGAGCCGCTAGGCGCGCACTAAAACTCAAGGGAGTGTGAAAAGAGTCAATTTCAAACGTGTAGGACGCTATACTTTCTCTACTCATAAATGATAAGCAGAATAATTGACTTTGTGACCTTATTATATTATTACTTATATTTAAGAAATCAATAATTTCATTAAAATCTTTTAAAAGAGACCATTAATAAGTATTTAAACTTTTAATAATTATTGTAAAATTGGAACAGTGTTCTAAATTCTAACTAAAGGAAGCTGTTTCTGTTTCATTGATAGTTCAGTAATAAATATATTTGTCGAATACTTCGATGAACATGAGACATCTGGATCATTGGAGAAATCCTCTATTACATCTTGTACCTCATTGAGAGAGGATGGTTCCACCAAATTGACAATTTTCCTGTCGATTTTCATTTTATTTTAAAGTGAGTCGTGAAGATATCTCTCTGCGACACTACTTGACCGCCAACCTCGGTGCCGTTTGAGGGTTAATCAATCACTGTCTGCATTAGCTAGGAGTGTGGCCGATGAACGCCAATAACAGTGTCCAGTATAATTTTCTGTATTTGGTAACTAACTTCCACATCTGCGCAACTTCTTTGGCCATATTTCCGACTTTGTTGATTCCAACCACTTGTCTAGTAAACCTCCCATTCCGGCAATAAAAAAAAATCTCTTTTCGGACAAACTTTAAGGGAGAAGACTGGTCTATTCTTATAAATCTCATAAAAATTATCCATCAGGGTAAAGCTTCTAGGTAGTTTATTCTTTGTATTCTTTATTTTTACGAATAATGCTTATCATAAAACTTGTATGCAGTCAGTTGTTAATCTCCAGCACGTTAACAAGCTCCTGTTAATCCAATAGCTATCACCTTCTATTAATTTCAATATAAATCATTAGTGTTACTCTGTAAAAATTAAAATAAAAAAAAAACTTTACAAGTAAAAATCGACTAAAATCTGCTTCAGTTCACCCATATCAATGTTCAGATATACAAGGTTACAATAAAAGGAAACAAATTTATTACGACTAAACGTTACAGTAAATGTTGAAAATATTCACCACTTTGTTCAAGGAACATGTTCACTCTCTTTTTAATTTGGAAAATGTTCTGTAACATACTTTCGTCAATACTTATGTTGCAACAGGAACTCCTGACTGCTGAAGATTTTTGCGGATTCTGTTTAAGTCATCTGAAATCATCAACCACTTTCTCAGACAATGAAGGTCTTTCAGGAGATTTCCCTTTCCCTAATGTGAGCCTCTGACGATGTTTCATGAAATATGAAATTATGGTATTTGGCCAGATATTCTTGCTTACAAGCGCTTACAGAATAAACATACTCTTCATTTACGGATGTCCCATTGCTATAACAAGACAAAAGTGAAAGTGTGTTGTTCAACAGAATAAATCATTTTCACGGTCTTCATTGTTTTGTTGTTTTGCGCTTGGATCAATAAGAATGATTGTAATTCGCACCACTTAAAAAACGTTAAAACAGTAAAAACGATCATTTTAAATGACAGACGATGACAAATGACATTAGTGACAAGTGAGAACCATCATAATGAAGCATAATTTCAGCGAAGCGGGGTTTTTGAAATCCATGGCCAACTACACCCTTATATAGAAGTAATTTCACCACGAAAGGGTACAGGGCCGGGCCATCAGTGGCGTAACATCGATGCATTGAGAAGGGAGGCTCGGCTGAGTTGTACTTCTTTCAAAAACAATTAAAAAAAGAGCAATTTCTACAAAAGAATACAGACAACCATTTAATAAAAATAAATTAATTTGTTTGTTAAAAAAATAGACTTACGTAACAATAAATTATGATAATCTATTACACAAAATTTGGTATTTTTAATTATTAAACGAGTTTATAATGTGAGGGATTATAGCATGAGTAAAAAATTTCACGAACCCCTCATTATAAACCAGTATCATATACTATTTTATAGTCGACTAGTCTTAAATCAACAGTTAAATCTTTAGATAAAGCGGGCTTAAAACTCTGAGAATAAGCAACCTATGACTATAATTATATGGTTTTTAATTTTCTGGCACAATTTATCGATACCGTAAAGTCGGATTATAATAAGGCTTAACGTTTTCTGCCTTTAACATCGAAGTAATAATCACAGTTCATATTCTAGCATAATTGTCGTTTATAACTAGAGCTTCGACTGTACCATAATTTAACAGTTATTATTGTTTACTAAAAATTACCTTTTTACATAATATATAATATTTTAATATTTCAAAATCGAAATATTCATTGCCGCTGCCACTGCTTGCACGATATTTGTAAGGTCAAACCAAAACAATGTTCTGCGCACTCCCACCACCTGTACCCTTTCGTGCTGAAAGCTGCTCTATCAAGTATATGAGTATATTTTTGTGTAACAATCAAATCATTTTAAAATGCTATTCATTGAAATGCTTTAATTAGCAAAATTTTGGTTAGAATTTAACCATCTACATGATATTTTCAACATACATACAAAATTTCACAACAATCGGTCCAGCCATTTAGCAGGTTACGTCTCTAAAAAAATGAATACAGACACCAGACAGGCAGACAGACAACCAGACGAACTGAAACGGCAGACTACGTTTTTGTACTGTAGAAGTCATGAAACGTTGAGAAAACATAAAAGTGGCAATTCGTCTGACGGACTCGATTTCCTTAGCTTACGCTCGGGAAATAAAAACAGCCTGTATTTTTGCACAGATAGCCGTATGCCAGCCAGCTTCTACTTGAGCTTATAAACGAGCTAATTATCTCTTGGAACGAAAGGTCTTGTACAACGTATTACTTGACATTTCATGTTCTCTGAGGTGAAAACTAGATCCAGTGACCTGTTATTGCGATTCATTAAATTATTCCATTGAATTAGATCATCACAATAATTAATAAAATCAATAACTGGACGCAATGAGCTGTTTATGATGTTTTGTTCTGCTCATAGATATAAATAAATATTTCCATACTTATACATTACAATTACCAGTCAGCCATGCAATTTTGTTGAAGTAAATGATTCACGTTATTTCGTTAAGATAAATGCTCATTTATGAAAATGGAAAGAAGCAAAACTTTGTGCTTATCAAATAAGGTAAAACTTTTATTTTTAACCCTTTACTGAATTTTTCATGAATGCAAATTGAAGGATTTGCTTATAAAGCCACAAGAAACTTGAAATCCTTATTTTTATGAATACTGCCCAATTATGTAACTCCTGAGAAAAAAGCGTGCTTTATCTGAGCTAAACTTCCTTAATTCCGATCGTGAACTCCATAATAAAGATAATTGAGCCTAGGAAAAATCCACTTAGGAAGTGAATCTATAAAACATATCCAACTAACAAGGTAGGACAAACTAAATAAGAAAGAAATTCCATTTACATTACACATTATTAATGTAGTTTTCTACTTTAACTTAGTTGTTTCTTAGCAGTCCCTTAAATCAAAATTTCGTCGGTCCCAAAAACAAGCCAGTTATATTCCACAAACAAAAAGGCGCAAAACAAACTGTGCAGTCCCCAGCCACCGGTTCTACACATCCACCCACACTCCCCCAACACGACATCGATTACTCCAGAGCCTATTTTCCCGGCGGTCTTTGCAGAACCCTCACCTAAATATTTTAAGCAACCCTTAAATGATTATTATCGATTCCGGTCCCAAACAGGTCACAACCGTACGTACGATAAAAGATACAAAAGAAGTTAGGTCACGTTCCACTTGCAGCCGAACGTTCAAGAACAAAGGTAAATCATCGAAGATCGTCCGAATCCTCGTCATAATCGCGCTTTTGTAAAATATAACCGGGGTTTGTTCCGCAGGTATGGCGAGTTTTGCCAAAAGAAAGTAAATATATTACGTTTAGGATGTCTTTCAAGTAACAGAATGATGAAAGATGGTATCGTGTGTCGTTTAAAATTCCGCCGGTGGAGGGGGATGGGGGATTAAAGAGGGTGGATACGACGTCAGCGAGAGAGAGCTTTTTGCGACTTTATGCAAACATGGAAATTTTAAAATATAATGTAATTTTTATGATATTGTACATTTGAATTTTAGAACGGTGGCTGAATGAGACGAGTAAAGTTGTATTTTATTTATTTGTGAATGCAAATAAGTGTGGCCATAAAGGAATTATGTAAACTTTGAGGACTTTCTTTGGAGAAAGTTCCTTTTTAAATATACATCTTGTAGCTATAAAGACAAACATGAAATTTTAAATTCTCTCAGAAAACCACATTTTGTTTTAATAACTATTAGTAAAAATTACCCATAAAATTCTATATATTTTTAGTGACATAGTAGGAATTTATGAACTTTACTTTTACTAGATGAGGTTGAAACTTACATCCCAGACCAAAACTCAATCCACTCGAACTTTGTTATGCAATTGTTAAGTGTATTATTGGGTTGATTTTTATTGGTTTAATAAAGCTACCTGTAACGTAAATAATTCAATTTATCTGCAAACCTACATTTAATAATCAAATTACGAAGCAGTTTTCAAGCACCTGAGTCTGGGGAAACCAATATAAAAAAATGCGATTGCAGCACTGAATCAGTATTATTTGGTGTTGAGTGTTTAGGTTAACGGAGCAAGTTGGTGAGTGATACCTAGTTAACCAATTATTTTTTAACCATTTAAAATCATTTTTAGTTGAAAATGAAATTCATCGCCCTTTTGGTTTTTCTGGTTGTGTTAACCACCGCTTATGGGTACTATCTGAGCCCAAATATACGTAGTACCTCTGGCAGTGGAGACCATACTGAAGTTTACAAAGGTTTAGCTGAATTCTTCTCTAAACTGAGCAACGATGCCGCTAATGTTGCAGCCCTTTCTTCTTCTGGTCGACGTTAAACATTCTGCAAATTGTAATTGTTCTAAGTATAACACTAAATAAAGCTTTCATCAATAATTACTACACTGTTTTAATACTAGAAGCAAAATTTCTATCAGTCTATCGTATATGCAAGCTTTTGTTGAAAATAATTGTCGCACCTTGAACATTGTGTCTTCTGTTGTTCCTTCTTATAAATTTCTGAATGTGATTGTGTCGTGAAATACTTATAAAAAAAATACAACTGAAATAAACATAAGCATGAAGGTGAGGCTGGTGGTATGATGTTTTACCGTATGAACGACAAAAATAATAAATAATAATAACAGGCATGCCGTTTGTGTCGAATGAAATTCCAACGCCTTCTCTAAGTGATTTTTCAATTGAACACACGTTATAATAAGTTCGTTTAATTGATTTACCGAGTTTGTTAAGAACTAACAAAGATTGTTTATTTTCTTTTTTTTGCATCCATGCGTTGGTGTTGTTTAAAATGAAATAAACTCTCAAACAAGGAGTTACACGCCATGTTATCTGAAATTTGTTATCTATATGTCTTAGTTTTGACATTTCAAGGTCAGAATGCGCCACTATGACGTCGATCAGCATCATTTGATTATCCACGCTTATTATTGTTACTGTTAATATTATTATTAAAGAAGCGACCGGGCAAAGGCGTAACATCAAGTAATGGGATGACAATATTGTTCTTTAGTGATTACCAGTGTTGGGGACAGATACTATTAAAAACATTGTAACGAAGCGAATTTTCGCGAGAGCAGGGGGGAGGGTAAAGCCGCGGCGGAAGAGGATTTTTGTCTCAAGCTTCAGGGTGTGTAGAAGTGCTGAGTGTTGGAGAAGTCCTTAACCGACCACCGTCTTGGGTTTTTTACCTGTTGCCTTACCGGTTCTTGCAAAAGTCGAAACCATCGTGCACGCGTCGCGTACCGCCACCGCGCTCCCGTCACGGGTCGCCGTATCGTCCTCACGCAATTTCCAGGTTTCAAGGTCGCCGCCCCCAAGTCCAGGAGCAGCCCGTCCTGAAGGAAGTCGCCGCCCAGGAGGAACGACCGTGCCGGACGTTTAGTTCTTTTTGTTTATTTAATTTGTTAGTTAATTAAAACTTAGCCATAAGATTTATTATTTTAGCCGTGTAGCTGGTGGCAGGGAATAAACTCTATTTAATGTGTAAAATATTTCTTGCCGTTTTATTTTGTTATAGTGTTTTCGTGGGCGCTCACCTCCGACGTGAGAGCAACCCCGGCGCTCCCTCTTCCGGAGAGGGAGATGGCGCCCGAGCGACCGCCGCTCCTGACCGAAGGCCCCACACACGGCGACGTGAAGGTCTCCGCATAAGCTTAGGTCGGCCAGTCGTGTTTCTTAAATCAGCGACACTACTAGTCGGTCCAAGGCTTGGCACCCAGGTACGCCGCCACCACACGTTATCGGCGCAACTCCGGACCGTTACTGTCCATCACACCGGAATTTTGTCGCAATATCTAGATATAGATACAGATATAGGTGAAAGATAAAATTATCTAGATACAGATAGTTTTCGATTTGTTCGAAATGTATCTAGATAACAGATACAAGAAAACAGACACTTTTTGAAACTTTAGTGAATAAAATAACTGAAAACATGTCTTTATGTATTTTTAATAATTTTTTTAAAATTAACAACATTTCAAACGTGTTGTCACCTAGATTATTTCTTGTTGATGAATTTGATTTCCGCTCCTAAACACCCGCTCCACAGGTGCAATAGAAGGAATCGTGGTATTAAATTTAAAAAATAAACATTTTACAGTAGTATAATTAGGTATTCAAGACTGAAAAATCTTTTCATTTTTCCTGTAAAAACGCCATCGTTTCGCTGTTCGTCAAATTTGGCACAGCTTTCTCTGCAGAATCCACAAAAAAATTGTAAAACGTTTGTTTCATTTTCGTTTTCCGATACGGACTGCATGCTGCTGGATGTGATGTCATGAGGTTGTACAGTTTTCATTGTCTGACACTCTAACAGGAACAAAGTTTTTGCATCTTCACAGGATCTTTCCGGAACCCATAACATTTTAAACTTCGGGTTAGAGATTGCTGATAAATAAACCATTTGCTTTTCTCTGAATTTAGATTATAAATGTAAGGAAACCGTCTCTCCAATTCTTGTATCAACACAATTTTTGGTGGAGCACAGTATTTGAGATGTGTTAATAAGAACAGTTTTCTTCGCAATATGGTCACCCTAAATAGCAATACTTTTCTGCCTAAAAACAAAAATATTAAATTATTTGATTTGCAAAGAGTCGAAAAGCTTTCTACAGCTTTCAGGTTAACTTTAATTAATTAGATTTAATGAAGAGTTAAAATGGGTGAATTAACAATCGACAGAATAAGTTTGTAGCATAAATTGGAGAAATAGATTAGCACAATTAAATTAAAATATTTCAATTGAAAGAACTAAGATCTTCGATTTTTGACAATTAAATTAATCTTCTAAACTAGATGAATATAATGCAAAAATAAAAGTTTAAATTCTATGTGAAAGTTGAAGAGTTGAAAGCATATAAAAAAACTTCCCATTATGATAGTAAGCGATAGCGATAAGCGTAAAGATATTGACGCGATAAAAATGTTAACATGAAAAATTATACTATGGATAAATAACATGGAATTATAATATAATGAATCTACAAAATAGCGCTGAAATGTGCCACTATAACATGACGGTCCTTAAGGATATTGTTGAATACTATTATGACCACTCAGTACTGATTAGTGTTTCAAGGTATATGAAACTTATCTAATTACTAATTATCTGAACTCAAAAAATAGAATTAGTCTCAACTAAAACGAAAGTCAAATTTTACGATATTTCAAAGGCGACAAGAACGATGAAGGAGTTAACTGGTTGTAGACCCCAAGGACATTTGCAGCCGTTGGGATGGCAACGATCTTACTGGGGAAACAACAGCGATCTGCCCCAGGAAGTTGATAGTAGCGACTTGAATTTTGGAAAATCGCCTAATTCCAATATGGCGACGCAAAAAAGTAACTATACGAACTTTGATAAAGCCACACATGGTTTCCCTCGGAGTTAACGGGTTTAATAACGATAGTTGGTTGAGTAATGCAACCCTAAACGATACGAAAAAACGATAGCGATATTCGGAACGATAGTTTCAGGATACATCCTGAACTTCACGACACAACTTGATCCTTCGGATTACCACCGCCGAATCCCCTCGAAAATGGAATACTTCACTCATTATCCCCCTCTTAGGGAAACTTCTGACCCGGTCATGAGGGATCTTGATAAATCTGTCTTTAAGGTTGAATTTTAATTGGAGCCGTACGCGCGTGTCTTTGATTGACATTAAGAAGTCGTACCGATATTTAAGGTTCGCGTAGGTTTATTATTATTGTACTTGGTGGGATGTTATTTGTTTGATTCACAAAAGAAGTAAAGTGGAGAGAAAATGCGTGAAGAGAAAGCGATAGTAGAGTAAGAACGGAAAGATAGAAGAAGGGTCGACAAAGAGTAGAAAGGAAGGGAAGACCATTCCCAAAACAGTACAACGATACTCTGTTAAATAGAAGAGAGAAGGGAGAGGAAAGACAAAAGTGTAGAGAAAAAGGTTTGGGTGATACGGCAACCAGGGATGCAGAGAGATACCCCGTGCAGCTTGTAGCAGCCGCCCGCTAAAATTTGAAGGGTAAAATGCGACTCTCCAACCGCTCCATATCAGCTGGCGCCCAAAAATCGAAAAGGAACCAAACAAATCAAAAAGAAAATAAAGTTAAGAACTGAAAAATCCTGAACAAAAGGAAAGTATGCAATCAGTTATACTTAGTTTAGTCTTTTTATTTGTTTTTTATGGTGTTCAAGACTAATGTTAAGTACCCAAGTATTTGTGTGGTCCCTTAGAACACGCCCCACACACCGGCAAGTAAAAGTAGCATGCTACAATGTGTTGTGAATGGTCTGTGAATACACCCCAGAACGAACGTTGTGTAATTATTTGACACTTTCAAAAATAAGGAGTCTATACCACCAGTGTCTAGCAGAAGAGGCACAACAAGAAAATCAGCTAAAATAAAATCTAAAATGTACATGCAGACACCACCTCCTCCTTTCCCAATTCGGTCAGTTTTGAAGATCGTGTAGTTTTTAAGCGAAACCAGAGGGTCTGCTATTGAAGTGGTCAACCACGTTTCGGTCCGCAAAATTATGAATGGTTTATATGTATCGACAGAAACACAAAAATCATCATACTTTGTCTTTACGGATGCTATATTTGTATATAATATTGGGTATAAAAATAATGGTAAGAGAAATCATTGTTAGTTGTCGAGTTGAAAGCTATCATTTGATATAAATAATATGTTATAAACTGTAAAGCTGTATTGGCCCGGGCAGTTCCAAAGTTAACTTGTAGACTTTAAAACCGCACTGTATAACAACTTTTTGCATATGTCAAATCCTACACAGAATAAAAGACACTATACAAGAGTTACCACCTATATATGCCTTCATCAAAACAATCTTAAGCCTTTTTTAATAAATATTCAGAAGCTTGTGGTGATTATGAATTGACAGATTTAATCTTAACTTAAATATTAGACAGAGATGTGAACTATTACGACTTTGGATTAGTGAGGTGTGCACTTTTTGGAACTCCATCACAAATTTATAACTAACTACTGAAACTTTCAGTGCAAAAATGTGTTTGTCGGACAATGCTACACGTGTTTAAGTACAGAGCACTTTCATCAGATAGATGAACTTTCATTTCATTCGCTGAATTACATTGAGCTTCTTCACATGATTATCCAGTAGTTGGTTTTCCCTCAGGATTTTTACATCTGGTTTAATAAAAAATTTTCAACGCATCCTTAACTTCACCGGTGGATTTTCATGCACTTGCCCTCTGGCGGTTAAGTGTTAAAATATCTGAGACTGTTTAAAAGCAATGCTGGCGATCTTTGGAAGCAGGGTTTTTTCTTTTTTTATTTTGCTGAAATTATAAATAATATAATAAAAGAAAAATTGTTATATGACACTCATGTACAAAATGCGTTGAAGGTACATTATGCTCACATAAATCCCACACAGATGATACTCTGAATTTGTATCCATGCTATTGATTTTGATAGCGCAAAAATGAGGCTGTACAGGATTTATGTGAGCGTGACTGTACGTGTAACATTGTATCATAAATAAATGGCTATTAGTAAACTTTAAACATTTGTATCAATTCTAAACAACTGCTGTAACAGAATTCACATTATGAATATACCGGGTGTCTGGAAAATGGCGGATTAACTCGTCGCTACGCGCTTAACTATCGAAGGAGGTAACTCTTCCCAAAAACTGGTAGCCTTTTGCGAAAAGTAGGGAATGTAGCGTCCAAAAAACGAACATCTGAGGTTATTTCTCATGTTGAAGAAATAATGGAAGATATCTAAAAACGTCAATTCGTCATACATCAGCAAATTAATCCTCCTGTTAGAACTACCCACATACTTTTACGCAAAGATTTGGAAGTCTATCCTTATCGTATAACAACCGCAGTGCAAGAACTCTTACCAGTGAAATTCCCACCAAGATTAGAATTTTGCAATTCGTTTGTGAATATGAACAACAACGGAGAATTGGCGCAAAAAATAATTTTTAGTGATGAATAGGTTTCGGATTTTTGGTCGTTAAAAATGAAGAAAAGGAGACATTTTTAGGTCCCAAAATTGACGAATTAGGTTATAAAAATCTTAGTTTAGGTTAAAAACCTGGAGGAAAAAATATTTGCTCAACGAAAAAGCATACATCAAAAAAATATATATTTAAAAAAAAACATTAAACAAAACATTATAGAAACACAAATATTATAAGCATTTCCATTACCGCAAATTGCGGTACTTACTGAACATATAAAATCGTATCCTGGATTCTTTTTTACTAGAGAATATAATTTTTGGAACGCCATTTCCCCCACCTTTCCTGGTGTGTTTTTTAAAGATGTATACACTTTTTCCACAATTTCCATACTTTGGTTTAATTTTAAACCTATAGTTTCTAATTGTTCTATTGCATCAGCAATAATTTTAAAGTGAGTTTCAATGTACAGGAGTTCATTTTTAACGTTTGCATTATTCAGGAATTCTTGAGCTTTTTTAATGCTTTGTGAATCTGTGGCTTCAAATGACATTACAATCTAAAAATATTCAATATAAGAATGATATTAAAAAACCATTATATATTTACTGACTTGTTTTAAAACATCAAAGTGTTCTGCATAAAACAATGTTGCTTGAATCCAAGTGCCCCACCTGGTTAATGCAGGTTCAGGTGGGAGAGGTGTATTTGGTAAACTGTTTTTATAAAACTCTACTCTTATTGGTGCTTTTAAAAAGATTTTCTTAACATTGCTAATTATCCCATTGACATCTGGATAATTCGGTCTAATTGTTTCAGACACTAAATGTAACCCATGTGCCATACATGTTAAGTGTGTTATATTTTCATAAAACACCTTCAAATTAGTACCAGTTTTGATCATGTATGAAGCACCATCTGGTAAATGCTCTACATAAAACACTGCAAAATTGCGTAAAATCATTGTCGGAAGGAATGTTTAATAAAGTCGGTTTACTGGATTTATTCTGGTTCTTTTTATGTGCATCGCCACTGCAGTGCTGTTCAAAGTGTGATTTTTTTTCGCACTTAAACTAGGAAACAAAAATGTGAACATAATTCAAGCTTCAGTATTTTAAATGTTTACTTACGACTTTTCCACATACTTTGCAGAATAATTCATTGTCTTTGGTTGAAGTAGGAGATTGAAAATTAGTGTCCAAATTATTCCCTAACCATAATTTGATTTTATGTTTCATGGATGATTTTACCTTACCCATTTTCAGGATTCTTTACTGTATGCACAAAAATCAAAACCGGTCCCAGCACACTCACTGACATGCAAAGACACTCAGTATCACTAACAATAAACTTCTAAAATAAAATGCTTTTTCAGAGATTCACCTCCTTCCGGCTATAATCTAAATGGAATGCAGGCCAGCGTTGTCAGTTGGCGACACCAACCCGTACCATTAAACTCAAGGGCGTTGTTTACAACCCATTTTTAAACAATCTGCCAGCCAAAGCAATGAATTCACGGAAAATCTCTATTGTGCAAGCACGTCCGCTTTGTTGGTGGTGGAATCCTATTTTAAGCTTTTAAAATTTATAATTAGGTCGTTTAATTAACACTTTAGGTCTCTAACGGTAAATTAGGCATTTTAGGTAGTAATAAATGGGCGTTAAATAAACAGAATTTTTTAAATTCGGATAAATATATAAATTTCGCTGCAATGCCTGAAGTAGATATAAAAAGGCAAAAAACCTAAGATCCGAAGCCTAGTGATGAAGCATGGTTTCATCTCAATGGGTTCATAAACTCACAAAATATGAGAATTTTGAGTCATGAAAACCCACATGAATTTATTGAAGAACCATTGCAGCCTCAAAAATTTGGTGTGTGGGCAGCAAAGACGAATCATTGGACCAATCACAACACTTTTCAAGGTAAGCTACAACAAAATATCTACCATGGTTTTAACTCTCGTTGTTTATTAGGTAGGTACACTAAATGTTGCTAGATATCGAAATGAAATCTTAGAGCCCTTTGTCAACCAGTTACACGATGGACGGATTCTTTCAACAAGATGGAGCTGCGATTCATTGTACAATGGACAACTTTCTTAAAAAACTTTTTAGATGGCCGCATAATTAGTATACAGAAATTCCTTAGCCACCTCGTTTCTGTGATTTGACAACTTCTGATTTTTTTCATGTGGCTTCATCTTAAAAACACAATTTCTCAAACACTAGTTGCAAATGTGGAGAACTTACATTATGTCAGAAAATGTTTTCAGAAATTTTGAGAGGAGGGTTTTACGATGCGATGTATTGACGCAGACGGGCAATATTTTCAACATTTATTGTAATATCAAACTTGGTTTTAACATAAATTAAAAAAAAAGTAGTAATATTATGTTGCGTTTAAGACGGTAAGTAAAAGTGCAATGCTGGTAAAATCTTTAGTCAAGTTTCGATATCAAACCTGCTTTGATTCAATGTTATTATTGGATTACTGCTTATCACGATTTAATAAAGTTTGATTAATGAAATATTAAGCTGATACCCACTGTTACAGAAATTACTATCTTTAATATAAAAGTGTTACAGTGCAGTTTATAAATATTACGTTATTTTTTTTTTACTACATTATTTTATTATCTTAATGGTGTCGGATAAGTTAAATGATTGAATTACGAATCATTTTCCGAGTCGTGGGTAGGTACTCGGCTCAGACTTGAACAGAGGTATATATAAAGTCGCCCGATGTAACATCGGACATCAGTTCTACTTCATTGTTTCTGAACACTAGTAAGCTAGGTAAATCTAAACGAATTAATTTTATACTTAGTTCTATCGCTATTTCAGTTGAAAATGAAATTCGCCACCCTCTTGGTTTTCGTCGTCGTGTTGACCACCGCTTATGGCTGGTACATGCGTCCTAATCTATCCAGTGGCTCTGGTAATGGAGATCATACTGAGGTTTATAAATCCTTGGCCGAATTTTTCTCCAAATTGAGCAGTGATGCCGCTCAAGTTGCTGCCATTTCTGTTCCTGGGAGACGATAAATTTTTTGAATTTGTATTATTCTTTTGACGATGTTTGTTATGCATGCTGATTAAAAAATGAACAAAGTTGGTATATTTTAATTCTTGTGTTGACCCCAACTTTTTGATTACAGTGATATTCCAAACTTGCTTCAACAGTGTTAAAAGTGAACTCCAACAAATCCTTTGTTTTGGTTAAAGAGGTACCCGCACCTCTACGACACTCTAGGTATGAATCGCAAACTGCAATATTGAAATAAAGAAAAAATTACAAGCAATGGTCATTTGGTGATGTATTCGATCATATATAAATGTTCGGTAGAAAGCTACCAAAAAGAGACGTTTATCCATTCCCTCCAAGCTTTTGTTATTAAGCCGAATTATTGCAGGGTACTCAATAGATATGGGAGAATTTTGATTTTTATTCTAACGCTTGAGTTGATCAATAGACTCTATCGCAACAAAATGTCAGGCTTTATTAACAATTTTGTTGTTAAATCATAGCGGAACTGCAATTTCTCGATTTTTAGTAACCCTGCATCCAGATGTTCCACGATTCTTTTAGCTAACAATAAGAATTGTTTTAACAATTTTATTAAACTGAAGAAATTGTCAAAAAAACTTACTTGTTTATTTATTATTTCTCCACCTAGCAGGTTCTAATAACCCCTTAGGGCCGATTTTTCACGTAAGTGGGTGACTTTGATGTCCCATAAGCTGGGCTTATTGTTGAATAGACAAACGCCCTTCGAAGAGAATTATAGACTGAGCTATACAAAAATTAGCCTCAGTCTAATTCTTCACACTATTTTTCAACAATCTCTATTAGGTCTCAGCTCATAATATATACAGCGTGATCAACAAGTACTCTTTCAGTTAGCATCAATGAATATTTTACTTGAAATGGGTAGATCTGTCACTTCACCTTGTTCTCAAAAGTAACATGGTGATAGTGACATTTAATTTATGTCAAAATTTGTCATTGATGATTATTAAAATGTCATAACTAGAGAGCGGATTTCTAGGTTTAATGCTTTTTGTGAAAAATGTAAGCACTTCAAAACTTTTTTATATCTGTAACTATGATACAATTTAGAGTCATTTGACACATTTTTTTATGCTTATTTCCTTTTTTTTCAATTTTATGCATATTAAAACTTATATGCTTATTTAATGCTTTTTTCGACGAATATGAGTTTTAATGCATATTTTGTTCAAATGCCGGCCTTGTCGGGATGACAAATACTTGTTAGTTAGCCGTATCGTGTCGTATGCATTTTACCTGGACTTGACCATTGAAGTAGACTTACTCAAGACCCTTTCTGTGAATAGGTTCCGGTCGTTTGGGTAATAAAATTTTATTATAGGATTAGAAAAATACTCCATAGATTTTATGACTTTAAATCCTTACTTCTTGCTTGTGTGAAAACCGTAAGCCCACTAATTTTTTTTATGTATTTTCCTTTGTTAATCCTGTATATGTACGTTGTTTTAGATTCAATGTGATAAAAAATATAAAATGACGCAACATGTCAGAACGACTCTTCATGTAGAAAGGAAGAAAATGTTTGAAGTTTCTAAAATTAAACAGCAGACCATAAATGAATCTGTTGCATCTACTTCCACAAAAGATGAGCAGTTTCAGTTTAATTTCGATTTATGTAAAATGATGATCCAGTCCAATATACCTTTAAAAAAATTGGAGAAAGGCCCTCTTCAAGAATTCCTTGAAAAACACTACAATCGACATATTCCGGTTGAAAGTACTCTCCGAAAAAATTATGTAGGCTCAGTGTTTCAGCAAGTTTACAACGAGATTAAACATCGCATTGGAGATAATTATTTATGGTTCGCTGTCGATGAGACAACCGATAGTTGTGGAAGATACGTGGCAAGTTTAATTGTTGGAATCTTCAATGAAAATTTCCCTAGTCGAGGGTATGTAGTAAGTTTGAAAATGTTAGATAAAACAAATGGCAATACGATTACCAGATTTGCAAATGACAGTCTTACGTCACTATTTTTGCCAAATGCCTACCGGCGAATAAAATTTTATTGATGATCTCAGATGCAGCTCGTTATATGTTGAAAGCAGGGAATAATCTAAAAATATTGTACCCCAATTTAATTCACTCTACTTGCATTGCCCACGGTTTAAACAGAGTGGCTGAAGGAATACGTTTGCAGTTTCCTAATGTTATTAAATTAATGGCAAATGGTAAAAAGATTTTTGTTAAAGCGCCACTAAGAGTGCAATATTTTAAGGAAAAATTTCCAAAGATACCATTGGCCCCAGAGCCGATTATAACGAGGTGGGGAACATGGTTACAGGCCACATTTTATTATGACAAATATATCAAAGAATTTGAGGAAGTATTTACGGAGTTTAGCGAAGATTCTTCTCAATCGATTAAAGATTGCATAAATATTTTGGAAAACAAAGATTTGCGACAAGATCTAGCTTTTCTAAGAAGCAATTATCAATTCGTATGTGAGGTAATAGAAAAGTTAGAAAAACCCAACATGTTGTTGGTAGATGCCATAAACTTAGTGAAAGAATTTAAACAAAAAGCAAACGCAGTAAGGGGTGATATTGGTACTAGAGTATCTCAAAAACTTGACGATGTGTTAAATAAAAATGCAGGTTTCGGTGTTCTTTCCGACGTTGCTCGTGTTTTACAAGGCCAGAAGTTGGAAAATGTGGAGTTAGATTCAATATTAGTTGCAAAATTCAAATTTGCGCCAACAACGAGTGTGGATGTTGAACGCACATTCTCCAATTTTAAACATATTTTAAATGATCGGCGAAAAAATTTTACAGTGGACAACTTGGAACATATTACAATCATAAATTGTTTTAAAGAAAACTGAAATACGTGTGTAAAATATAAAGTCTAGGATTATTGTAATAATATTTTATCCAAAGTTCTAAGAAATGTTCTTTGATTTGTAATATGATTATGTTTTTAATGCTTTTTTGCTTAAAATAAAACTTTTTTATTGAAAATGTTGTGCTTATTTAAGCGCTTATTCTTAATTTTTTTGTGATTATAAATCCGCTCTCTAGTCATAACTAAACTTTCTTGAGCGCATCAAAATGACGTGGTTCAAAAGTTCGGAGAAACGAGTGACCAATGAATTGGTGAGCCCTAGATATCTGGAACTATTTTGCAAAATTCCGAGGTATTTAGATAAATGTATTGTTACGTTGATGGGTAAAACTTAACAATTTATACAAACTAATCGAATTCGAACTTATTAATCGACTCCTGGTTTAGATAGACTATACTGCTCCCGACAGTGGTCTCTATTTAAACAGCTGTACACTTCTTCCCGAACGTCGCCCTCGGTTTTTCTTTATTCGAGCGCCGCCGTCACCGATGATGAGTCACTGAGCCGTACATACCAGAAATCTCACAGGCGTCGTACAATATTAATGCCAAGAGGGTTACACGTACGTTTGCAACACTATAGAATAAAAATAACTCTTCAATTTTCATATGTTTTGCTACTAAATTCATGTACTTCTTAATGAGCCCAATGTAGTTATCATCATTCAAAGTTGTGAAAGTTCTAGCTCTATGAGTTTCAGTATCCTTAAAATGTACCACAAAGACTAAATCTTCTTTATTCACATCACCAACACTAATTGTACAATTCTATGTCGTCTACAAGTACCGGGTAGCTTAAAATTGCAAAACCTTCAGAGGAGTGTTCGTCTGGAGCCGTATTCAAAGAATTTATTAACTGCTTCTTCGGAAATACTAAAGACTTTCAGCTGAATAACCAACTGAACAATTCTCCAAAAATGCAGTAAGGTGAGAAAACTTACAATGTCAATATTGTTTTTGATGCATAACGTACCCATATTTCAATTTAGAGTACACATAATAACGACCTGTAATTTTTCGACTGAAAAATAAGATGCACATCTAAACTGTAATTAATCAAGGAAATAGGCAACAAAACATGTTCTATAACCTATAACTATTTCCGTATTATTCTTTCGCATTCAGTAAAAAAAAAATTCAATTGTAAATATCTTGCGACTTTTTTGCGAGACTGGATACAACTTCTTCCGCCCTCTTTCGTATTTCTTCATATAAACTAAAATCTTTTTCACAATTAATTTTTTAAAAATAAATTACCAAAAAAACAGGAACCACATTTAATCGTTCGAGGATTGCTTCTACATAAATAATTTTAATAGAACCACAATCTAATTTTTTAAAAGTAAATCATGTTTCCACAAGCTGCTAGTCGGAGGTAAAATAGCGTATGATATTGGTTTTTAATGCGGGGTTGTGGCATTCATGAAATTATCGCGTTCGTTGCGCTCATGCGCTAAACTTTCGTTCATGCTTATAATCCCTTGCATTATAAACTGATATAATATGATCATGATCACATATCCATCAATAATTAAAATTAACATGCTGGACATACTAGGTCAATATGAAGGTAGGTCTCTTTAATCTGTACAGATTTATTTAAAACACTGGTCATTTATTTCCGTTTCCTTAAGTTGTGTTAGATATTCCCCCTCACATATAGTTAAAAAAAGAGTGTGTCGACCCAGGGACGCACGGATGGAGATTCAACTCTGCGTTGTCAATTTATATAGATTAAACACGTATAGAAATCATTAATTTTTTCATTGAATGCTACCTACAATGACCACTGCTTTTGGCCATCTTCAGCGACCCTCCTGACCAATTCTGGTGCTGCCATTACAACAGTGAAACGGCATGGAGGCTTAAAACAAAGAAGAATGAAGTTGGTCGATTTCTCGTTTCGTTTTAGAACACGGGAGTTATTTATCTCAGTTGCAAATTTCTTAGGTTTATAAATGACTAGCTGATACTCAGCATGCGTTGCATGATTCTTAATAAAGGCAATGCCGGTGATATTGTATTATTTATTATCTAATTAGTATTATCTAATATCAACCGGCAATCCAAATGTTACTTTTTGCATTTGTTTCAGTTCAGTTCTACCGAGCATGCGCACTCATACGCAGAAAACACATGAACGAATCATTATAAAATTATTGAACTAATTCAAAAACCTTGGCGGGCGTGTGAACAACAATTCATCAAAGTTTTGTCGCAAACAAACATTCGTTTTTATATATAGGTAAGAGAAGAAATATCACAAGAAAACTGATACTTTTATTCAGGGTACTTCCTATCTCAGAACACAAACTATTGCAGCACTTCCTTAAAGAATTATATCAATTTTTTTAAATTAAAAACTACAGATCAGACTTAAATATAATATATGGAGATCCCCTGGACTCAAGTTTGTTAATTTGAAACATAATTTTTGAAAGCGATGTATTTGTAAAACCTTTATCTCTTTATTGCACTGTGGTGTGCCTCAAGGATTCGTCATGGGCCCGATTCAATTTTTCAGTTTTTATTAATGACATATTCACCATTTTCACTTAATTAAGAATTTTAAAAACACGCCCAACGATTTATTAATTGGCTTTCTAAAAATAACCTATTTCTTAAAAGATCAAGGCAATTTCTATATTATTAATCTTCAATAAGTCCAGATGTATTTATTCATTCTTAAATACAGGTTCAGTTTGAATTTTCTCATTTTAAACATCCTAGCTATTAAGTTATCCATTTAACGCATTTTGAAATTTAAATTTTGATTACAATTCATATTAAGTTGTTATTTATTTGTATTTTGACGTCTCTTAGCATTTTGGGGGCAATCATTACAAAAAATGTATTGTTGTTATTATTATTATATTAAATTAATTTTCTGAGAGCATGGGTAGATAATAATTAATGGATAGGTAATTAATTGACAATCTTAACGTACCTATGAAGTTTACAACTATATAATTAATTCATTAAATCACAAACAGATGAGAGAAATTTAAAAAAAATCACAGAAGATTTTGATAATTCGAATTACAATTTTTATTAATTAATTCATGAAAATACGCTTTTATGTCAATATACGTCTACGTGCTATCATACGTTGTTCTCAAATAGCTGCCGACTTTTTCGGAGCTTTACTTAAATCGACAGTTTACTTAAATAGACATGAAACGTTAAGTTGGAGTAAAATGCAAGAAATAGGTGAAATAAAATTGGTCTGAAATTGTATTTAAAAAATGCCTGAAGATGAAGATGTTTCGAAACGTGGAGTGACAGAAACAGAAAAATACAGTTATTCTATTATAGCAAGAGGTCATCATTTCAAACTTAAATCGAATTTGATTTGTATAATATTTCGTCGTAAATCACGGTGTTGTTATTTAACTTTTGCTTATCATAATTTAATAAAGCTTGATTAATGAAATATTAGGCTGGCACCCAATATTACAGAAATTATTATTATCTTTAATACAGCAGTATCACTGTGCAGTTTATATTAGGTTAGTATTTTTTCTTTCTAGTCGTAACATTATTTTATTATCTAAGTGGGGTAGGGTGAGTTAATTATTGAATTACGAAGCATTTTTGAAGTAGTGAGTAGGTATTCGATTTAGGCTTGAACAGATGTATATATACAGTCGTATACAGTAACAACGGACAGTACTTCTAGTTGGTTGTTTCAGAACACAACAAGGTAGGTAAACTTAAACGAATTAATTTTATATTTAATTTTGCATACTATTGTTTCAGTTGAAAATGAAATTCGCCACTCTTTTAGTTTTCGTTGTTGTCTTGACCACCGCCTATGGCTGGTATATGCGTCCCAACCTAGTATCTGGCAATGGGGATCACACTGAGGTTTACAAATCCTTAGCCGAATTTTTCTCCAAACTGAGCAGTGATGCTACTCAAGTTGCTGCCATTTCTGACCCTGGTAGACGATAATTTTTTTGTGAATTTAATTTGATTCTGATGACGTTGTTTATTAAAGTGCTGATTAAAAAGTGAAGAAAGTTTGTCTATTTAAATCTTGGAACCCAAAGACTTGGTTCAACTGGTTGTGAGACAGCAGCTATCTATAATCTACTTACTTATTATAAAATTCTTGACAGCGTTGTTTAGCATGAGTTAAGGTAAGCAGGAGTAAAGTTGATTTTCAACTTTTCTACGAAGTTTCCTCAAACAATCTTTAGACTGTAAAAAAAATCAGTTTTCGTTCATTAACATTTCATATTTGTTTGGTTAGAAGCTTTGTATGTGTCATTGCGCTTTCATTCCGTGAGATAATTATATTGAAAATTGGGTGCAAACTAATCACTTGGGACTTGTGATAACAATTGCATTAGTACCAGCAAAAACATAATTTTTGCCTAAGAAATGTTTTTAAAATTCTTCATCACCAGTCTTTTATCCAAGAATTATCAACTTCACCATCTAGGGCACCAAAAATTTTGTTATTTTGCATTGCATACATTTGTGACATACAGTTATATATAACAAATAAAACAAAATATTACTTGATAATGTGAAGCCGGGAAAGGTCGTATTAGGGAACATGAAATATTCCGCAATCTAGCAAACTGGAATGACACAACAAGTTCGTTGTACTAATGCATGCTACCGTTTACGTAGTTGTTTGAACAAAAATCTTAAGTTGTTAGAAGCAAAAGTAGTTTTCATTTGTAATAACATATTCTATTCATCGAACCACTGGCTGCTTGCATATTTTCAAGATGGGTAGAGTACGAAAAAATGGGTCTGCTATTTCCGTCTGTCTATCCGCCGTCCGTGAAAATTTTTGTTAGACAGATAATAATCTCCGAAACTATTGATGGACTGCTTGATGTCAAATCTTATACGTGTATTATGAACATCACTTACATGGTAAAACGCTAAACAAACTTTATCTAACAATCATCCCCACTAATAATGGGCTGACGTCATTTCACAATTGTACATAGTAAATCGGTTTTAAATTCTATAAAGTAACATAGTCCTACACGTGTAGTTCATGAATCCGTGTTGAGTTTTTAACCGAAACGTCTAAATTTTTGTGAAAAATATAAAAATATTTTGCAATTTAATTTTAAATCTGCAAAACCGAATGCTTTGAACTCGTCATATGATTTAAAGTTATCATAAGCATGGTAAATTTTTAATCAAAATATATATACTTATCTCCCTCAAAAAACGGATGACGTCATCTCAAAATTTTGCCGAATAAATCTAAAATGTGCAAAATGTGATGAATCTACACGTGTGATTACATGATCGTTTTCCGGGTTGGAACAGTGTTAATTGAGTTTTTGGGCTCAACGTTTCGCACATTTTCGTAAGTGGCATTTTCAGGAGCAGGGTTAAGAATATGATGCCACTTATGAAAGTGTGCGACACGTTGAGCCCAAAAACTCAATTAACACGGTTCCAACCGGTAAAGCGATCATGTATTGATTCTGACCGTGGGAGCCTCCGAAATTATTTATACTTGTGATTTATCATTCCATTCATTTTTTTTAGATTTGCTTAAACAGGGTGTCTCAAGAAAATTAAGAATGAGTCACTTTATTTTATTGATTAAATTAGAAACTGCGAAATAACTTGTTAAGTAAATAAGAACGTACTGCCGTTATATTTTCAGCAAAAGTAACGTATATTGTGATAACCAAAGTTAGGCACAACGGAAGTGATGGCAATCCCCCAAACAAATATTAAAAACGACGGCGAACATAAGGCGATAAATTTGGCTGGCCGACTGTGCAGTCGCAACCACGTCATAACCTCAGTGGCGTTTGATGCAAATCAGGGTTTATCTAATCAAGATCACGAAAATTTTGATGTTGACCAGTCATTGTTAATTTTTAACAGCTACGAGAACTCGTATAACTGAGGAAAACCGACAAAAAGTAGTAAATGTTATTAAGAATTCCCGAAGTTATAGGCTACAACTGCAATAGCGTTGCCGATCGGACGGCAATGAGAATCACTTCCTCAATGCCGAAATCTGGTGATAAAAGACAAGCACTAGGTTTCCTTTGGACATTTTGACCCCTTTTGACACAAGTTATTGAATATTTGTTAAATTTTGATGACGTATGTTTTAAGTGCAAAGCCACTGGTTATTTTTTCATGTTTTCCTACCACGTTTAGCACGTATTAGTTCTAAACACTCCCTCTTCGATTACTTAAAAGACAACTGAAAGGCGAAAAAGTGCCTCTAATGTTAATTTAGATCTTTCAGCTGATTGAGTAGACGAAACAAAGTTTAACGACCAGGAAAAAAATGAAAACTTGAGATTCAACCGATTCAAATCCTACTGCTACCGATTCACAATATCTATTGATATATCTAGAAATTGTGTAATTTATGGAAAAAAAATCTGACATTTTAGGGCTGATCCATGACTTAGAAGGCGTCTGTGCAATGGTGTAAGATATTTATGTCTCGGGATCGTACCCTAGTGCAAATTAGAATATTCAAATCAGTGAAAAACGAACTTAACGGCGTATTGATAGTGGGGATAAAAATTTGAAAATTATGTATCGTAGTGGTATTCCCACAATTCTACCCTCTTTAAACTAAAAAGTCCAGCAAGTTAACAAATAGTTAACAAATAGTTATATATTGTATTAAAAGGTTCATAGACTAAATTCCAAAACGCATGATTTCTATACCAGTGGCTGTCACAATTCATTTGATATTATTGCATTGACCGAAACTTGACTAAATAAATCTGTTTTCAATTCCGAATTACTCAGTTGATTTGATCTCACATGACCTTTTACTTCATAAACATAGCCAATTTAGATGCTTGGACCCTCTCCCAGTTGCAGTACATGTACATCACATTTGTGGAATAGAATCAATTACGCATTCTACAATGGTTTTCGTTCTTATGAATTTGTCTCAAGATCTGGAGTTCCACAGGGATCAAACCTAGGACCGTTACTGTTAAATATTTATATAAATGAAGAATAGGAATAATAGTAGTAATAGAATCTATCACTTGTCTTTGCCTTTGTTCTGATGATATTAAGTTATATTCAACCATAGCATCTACAGGACATATTCATAGTTTACAATCCAATTTAGATACTTTAATGAATTGGAGCCATTCTAACCATCTCATCTTAAACCTAGCTAAATGTTAGCTCATCTCCTTTACATGTAATATTAATCAGTTTGATTCGTACTCCATTGGTTCAACACCGCTAACGAGGAAATTAAAAACTAGCATTAAAGACTTAGGTGTCATTTTTGATTCTAAGCTTACGTTTAATCTCCACTTCCAAGAAACTGGTAACGCCGGTAATAAAATTCTGAGATTTATTATGAGGATCTCCAAATATATATTTTAACAGTATTGGTGCCATTAAATCTCTGTTTTTCTCAGTAAAATGGAATAAGCTTCCTTAGGATGGTACCCACTTTACATGACGCATTATGGTCTTAGACAAGATTCCCCGAAAATTTCTAAAGTATCTGTTTTATAAACTCGATAGAGTTTACCCAGTAAGAGGAATTCCTATGGACATCTGCTGGTCCGACGCAACATGATGTCTCTTTCTAACAGAAGGAATACTAGCTGTGTCAATTTTTCTTCTGTTTTACTATGGTTAATTTTTTTGTATTTTGTAGTTTTTATAACTGAAATATATATTAAGGTTTCTATTGTTAACATTCTTAATTATTATTATTGTTGTTATTAGGTTATCCTATTGGACAATACATGATTTATTCATTGTTTCCCATAAAAGTATACAGAACAGATGTAAAACGATATAAAAAGACTTGAAAAAACAACGTGCTGCACTTTATGGACAAGGATAGTCAATCCGCACAAAACGAGGATGTTCTTCCAATCAATATTTAATTTAATTCGTCAAATTTGCTGTTTTAAGTACTGAACATTTTTCTGAATTTTGTGTTAATTCATTGACATATACTAGTATAGCATCTGTATTAGCCAAATGCCTATATATGTATAATGATCTCGTTGTCTAGAAAATTGATTAGGGTATTTGAACTGTTGATTGAAACATGGGTCCTCTCCTCTCAAAACACTTCGTCTTCTTGATCTTAATTGCCACGCTGTTGCCATATATTTGCCGACAATTTCTCTAAAGTTATCACGTCTGAATCAGCTATTGGCAATTTAACAGTAGTTAACACTCCACCTTGTTCCTTCTTGATATTATTCTCCGGAAACTGAATAAGCTGCAGGACGGGAAATGTCTTCTGAGTTTCCTCGTCAATAGCCCCTTCAATTCAGCCGTAATCCCATCAGATTGGAAAAATGCCAGCGTTAGACCAATTTATAAAAAAGGAGATAAATTATCGTCCGGTTAGTCCGCATGTCGATAGCTGTAAAATTGATGGAATTTATTATTTATGACAAGATTTTTATTTTTAGAAAATTAATTATCAGTAACCTCCTCTATTGTCTTTCGGACTGGACAAAACGGTATGACATTAGTTAATCATTGGATGTCGTGTATTTGGACTTTTGCACGGTATTCGATCGAGTTCAAGGTCGCCGTCTTTCGCTTAAACTTGAACCTTGTGACATTAAAGGTAGTTTGCTTAACTAGTTTGAATGCTTTCTTGGTGAACAAATCTTTCAAGTGAAATGGGCAACTTAATCAGGTCTTCCGTCTTAAGTGAAGTGCCGCAGGGGTCGGTAGTGGATCCATTGCTGTTTTCATTTTATACCACTGACATCGTAAATGAATTACAAACTTCATATATTACGTTTTGCGGAGGACATGCAACTTTTTATTGACTACTCAAACTACCAAGAAGCGGCAAATGACATTATGACGGTCAACAAGTGGTTTAAAAAGTAACTGTCATCTACAAATCACAAAAAAATCTCCACCCTGCACATAGGCAAGATAGTGCTAGGCAGTCTTATTACCTCAGGCACAAGGAACAACTTGTTAAATTCACTTACTGCAAAGACTTAGGGGTACTACTTTACCATAAATTCCAATAAAATATGATATTTTTCATTACC